GTTTAGTTATTAAGGAGTTTAAGGTTGAGGATGTCGGGTTTAGGGGTTAGTTTAGGGTTTAGTTTTGAACAGGGTTGATATTTCGGGTTTCTGTACATGGTTTACATACGGCTCCGCAGGGCCGCAAAAACAGTTTGGGTTGGGTTATAGAGCAGTGTAGGCGGTGCATGGATTCACATCCCTAAGCCCTAGACCCTAAATATATAGGTAGTTCTCGAAACTAGGGTCCCTTTCGTCAGGGTGCCATACCATATTGGGGATCTAAAGCTGATATTGAGAACTACCCATATACGTTCAAAACACCCTAAACCCTAAACCACCCCCCCAAAAAAAACTCTAAGCCCCGAAGCCGTAAGCCCTAAATCCCAAATGTTTCGGTTGTAGGAATCAGGAGCGTGACGTTGCAAAAGGAATCAGGGCTTAGGCCCAGTCAGGCTTAAGGTTGAGGGCTTGATTTTGTGTGGGCCGGCTTAGTTTTGCGACAGGCACTTGCTTTGGGTTTAGGGTTTAGGGTTTAGGGGTTTAGGGGTTTAGGGGTTTAGGGTTCAACAAGTCCTGATGCAAAAAAGGGTGTAGGGTTCAGGGGTTTCGGGGTTTGGGGGTTCTAGAGATTCTCACAGGCGCTAACGATCCCCGTAGACATGGTCAGATGCGGGGTTCAGGTTTCGAGGGGCTTCGAGGTGAGTGATTTCGGGTTCAGGGTTTAGGGTTCAGGGTTGAGGGCAGAACAACGGCAGAAGAGGCAGTGCTGGCAGTCATCAAGTCCGGTTTCAAAAAAGGGTTGAGGGCCGACGTCCCAGCTGATGATCAGAGCCTAGGTTCAAAAAAGGGTTTAGGGTGTTTGCAGTTGATGCTTTTGTTGAGAAGCTCACGACCTGGGTACTGGGGCCCTTGCGATTTCAAGAAGTTTTGTTTTAGGGACAGCTGCATCAGTGGTGGTGGCGGTGATGGTTGTGGTCGTCGTGGCCGTCATGTCGCTGTGACACTAGATCAAGGGATCTGAGGCAAGTGCGATGTTTAGAGAATTAGCAGAAAATCGGCGTAAAGGGCCAGGCACAGCACGCCGGAGCCGGGAATGTAGTCAGCTGACTGTTCAGAACTCCGAAAGCGTCAAAAGCTGTAGGTATTCTTTGCTTTTCATTGGTGCGGATTGCAATTTGCTGAGTGGGTAGTGACGGGTACTGGGAGGATCATGGGACTTAGTAAGTAAGGTTATAAGCTATAGGTACCCTAATTGGGGTTATAACTATAGTTGCCTTATTTATACCCCTAGTTACTAAGTCCTATGATCCTCCAAGTAGTGTTCTCTTTGGCTAAGCAACCCTAAACCCTAAACCCTAAACCCTAAACAGCTTTCACAGCTTGGACCTTGCAGGCCGTTTCACCGGCCGTCGCGACGACCGCCGCGACGACCGCCCCGATGACCGCCGGGCGAATCGCAGGGATGACCGAAGGGATGACCGCAAGGACTGCGGTTTAGGGTTTAGGGTTNNNNGGGGGGGGGGGGGGGTGGCGTTTGTGATCTAAAGGTTTGAGTTTGAGGACATGGTTGAAATTCTGTTCACCGGCTCATGTCCACCAGGACGATCAGCGAGATCGTGGCAGGCATGGCAAAGATGATGATCATCGTCGAGCCGATGATGACGACAAGGAAGCGAGGCCCGGAACCTTTATGTCGGGACAAAGCTGCGGTAGACAACAAATAGCCAGAGCAGTATCGATAGTTAGAGTGGCTCTGCAAGCGACATCCATGGAGCAAGAGGCAAAAAAAGCCGCTGGAATAACTAGTAACCATAATCATGCGGTTGACGCTTCGATGGATTGTCTGTGTCAGTGCTTGCTTGATCATGTCCGAAAGCCGCCCCAAGCCACCCACAACAC